TGCATGGATCTGGAGCTGGGAACTATTTGCACCTGGAGGTGAATAATGAGTCAAAGTTCAGTGACCTCTATCTACTGATGCAAAGGTTGTTTTTTTATTTTTTTTATAATAAACCAAAGCTTTGTTCTGTGACGTGTGATAGAAGATTGATCTTTAATGAGGACGATTCATGTCGGGTTTGTTTGGTTTACTTTCTGCTTTTATTTTAACAGAATATCTTTAGATCCTGGTGCTTCTTTATCATCTTAAAGTTCAGCCAAAGGTTGATTTCTGGTTATTTTTGCAGAGAAGATTCACTTGAGTTCAGTCTGGATGTTTTTTTTTTCTGTTTCAGCATAAAAATGATTGATTATAAAGAGAAATCAGATCATCTCTGGCAGATTATTGATCATTTAGTCATCTGTGTTTGAGCAAAGCTGCTTCCTGAACTGTTTGAATTCTCCCGTTTCTTCTGTTTTCCGGATGTTAATAAAACCCTCAGTCACTTCATGCATGTAAATAAAGTTATTCTGAAAATAAATCTCTTCATTCATGCAAGGTTTTTTTTTTTTTTTTTTTTTTTTGCTGTGCTTTAAAAACATGGAAGTTGAACCAATCAGCAGTTTTTAGATGCAATGAACAGGCAGCCATTAGTGTCAGCTGACCAACCATCTCCAACCATCTCTAACTCATTTCTTGGTGTCTGTTAGCAGAAATCTGCAGGTTGCTGCAGGTTGTGGTTTATTTAATTATGCTGCAAACTACTGTGCTTCATTTAACCCATGAAACGCTGCTTTTCAGCTACTTTAAGCAGAAGATTTAGGATTTTCCAGAAGCTGAGGAGTGAAAACCTTTTCTTGCCAGAGGAGGGCGCTGTTGGCACAGCTTGCTGTTCTGGGAAAGCCAGTTTTGGTTCAGTTAGGAGCAAAAGCAGCTGGAACATTATTTCAGGAGAGACTCTGAGCTTCATCCACTGGATCAGAAACTAAACCATCACAGAATCGTTAAAAATCTGCAGCCTTCCAGTTAACAGCTGCTTTCTTTTTCATTTTTAAGCTTCCAGTAATGAATGTTTTTAATAAGTTTGTTATCATTATTGTTGTTATTCTAAGTGTTGCTCCTGCAGTTTTATTTTAACTTTTGAAATTACTCACAGTCCCTCATCTGCTAACATCCCAAACAGTAAAGATCAGAACCAATGAAAGCTCCTGTTTTAAAGTCAAATAAAGAATAAATTGTTCATAGGATCAAAAAACTGCTCATGCAGTTAATGGGCGTGTTCGCAGTTGATCTATTACCGCATGTGACGCGTCAACAGATGAAAAAGTTTTGCACTGCTCCTTATTGAAATATGAACTTGAATAAGGAGAATGAAGGAAATGGAGGGACTATCTCTGATAGTCTGGGAGCCGCAGACCTCCCCCTGCAGAGACTGAGGGGAGGAACGTCTGCTGGTCACTGGTGTGAGGCTGCAGCCTCCAGGGACCCGGTCT